TGAATGAGCGGGGCTCGGAGCTGGGGCAGCCCCGGGCATTGAATGAGCGGGGCTCGGAGCTGGGGCAGCCCCGGGTACTGAATGAGCGGGGCTCGGAGCTGGGGCAGCCCCGGGTATTGAATGAGCGGGGCTCGGAGCATCTCTCGGAGGTTGTTAACGCCCGGCGATGAGCGCGCTCGGAGCTCCAAGCCCCGCCACACGGGCTCCGTGCGCTCTCAGCGGTCCCCCATCGCCCTTCCCGGAGTCCCGGGCTCCAGGACACCGGAGGCTGTTCCAGTGTGATTCACTCGCTCCTTCGGTGTTGGTGCGAGGCCGGAGTGGACGCGTAAGCACAGCCTGGTCCCGCTGGCATGTGAGCCCTTAGCCTTGAAGTCATGCGATGAAGTTAATCCAAGGTTAATAGATCCTTTTCAAGGCTGTTTCTGTGGCATTGCTTAGTTGTTGATTTTTTGTTCACAACAAGCTGAACTATATGTTTTTGGTTTTTTTTGTGCCACGCTAAAAACCGAATCACTAGAATTACTAATATGCACACTTGGAAAATGCACACTTAGTTGATGTCTACTTCACTGCGAAATAATTTGTAAGTGAAAAACATTCTACTTGGCTAATGAACGATGCTGTATGGTAGCTGTACATTTCTGCACAACTGTTTTTCCTATTGTTTTAGTGTCCTCTTGTGGAAAAATGCAGTACTGAGGGTAGTTTTTGGGTTTGGGGTAATTTTTGAAACCCGTTGTACTGGAGGCTACTGACGATTTGATAAAGTTGAATGATTTCATCTTCCTTTTCATGTTCAAATTATGTAACTTCTTAGGTTCCTCTCCGCTTTCTAAGCGATAAGTGGTAGCTTTTAGAATCAGTATATGTTGCTTGTGTTTCTATTTGTATAGTATATTAATGCTTTAAAGAAAAGGCTTAAAAATGGTAATTCCTGTAAATAATATCAGTGGTTTTGTTTTTATCTTTCAAGTATGCTGTGGAAATGCTATGTTTCTGGCTTTGTTGTGGTTTGTTTGTTTTTGGTTTTTCTTAAATTTTTGCTCCTTGAATTAAGCACAGAAATCCTTTCATTGGATTAAAGCAGTTTTTAAGTGTATTTCTAACTTGTTTTGCATTATATAACTTAATGGGTTCAAGTTGTTTATCTTACAAAGGTCAGAGGGTTCTTTGGCACAGGAGCTCTTGCCCTGTGGGTTTGAAATATGTTGCACCTGAAAGCGCCTCCTCTTAGACCTTTGAGCTCTATTATGATAAAATCAAGTACTGAGACAGGAGCCTGTGAGTCCCTTGCTATTAATGTTACTTCATGTTAGCTTGGGGTTTTGTAGAGCTACCCCTCTACAAGAGGAAGAAAAATATCTAGAATAGTGAGGATTTCAACCAGAAAGGCAGTATGAAACTAATGAACTAGTATCATTCTGAAAACAGCTGTTTTACTCATGCTTATTGGCTGTGTTGTGCATTAAAAGCTTTGGGATTTAGTTGGGGTTTTATTTTAGGGGGACTTGTGCAAGCATCTAGGTATGAAAAAAGGTGTAACTGCAGAAGAAGTGAAAAATGATGTCAAGATCTGTAGCTACTTGAAGGAGCACAGCTGCCTGGTGATCTCCAGTTGTCCAGCAGTGTCCAAAGATCCAGGAGAGCAGTGAGCAGGTGCTTGAGTTGAAGAGCCATAACAGAGCCAAGATTCCAGTACAAGAGATGCAACCATTGAAGCAAAATTGTGTGTGACTGACTGGTCTGCTGTAATTTCCCCTCTCCCCCCACTTTGGGGACACACCCCACAAAACCTCTCAGACTTGGAGGATTCTTCCTCTGGGTTGTAAGGAACCCAAATCAGGGACAAGAAGCTTTCAGAGATGTTACTTTGGAAAGTTCTTTTGTCTCTCTAAAATGTTATGTCCTTACAGGTTATTTTTTGCTGCTATTTGTGCATAACAAAGGAAAAAGCTGCACAACTCAATGACTTTATTTGAAATACATTGCTCTATTAGAATAAAGAGGTAGCTAACACAAAGATGTGCCTGCTAGATAAGAATCAGGAGTTGCTTTTTTTAAGAAATACTTTGTTAGAGCCTCCTGTTAGCCTTTAAAACTGTGCAAACATCCAGTGTAGCATGTGTGCATAAAACATCTTTAATGGAGTAATAATCTCTAGTTAATAATTAAATCTCCAGGAGCTTTTGTCATTTGTGGATGCTACAGTATTAAATCTCTTTATGTGAGACTTCTTAAAGAGGAATATTGAGTATTTGAAGGGAATCCTGGCCTTACATAAATGCTAATTTAATATAGCTCAGATTTAACTTGTTATTAGTGTGAAGGAGAAAAACTGATGTCTCAGACTACAACTGATGCTGGATTTGCAGGTAAATTTGTTGGGCTGTTGATTGTCAGACTTGCTGAAAGACACATTAATGAGAGTCACAAGTGCTGAAGTGTGTCACTTTTCAGTCAGTACAATTCTTGTCACATTAATGTATGCAGTGGATTAATGGAAATATAGTTGTGCACTGTCAGTGTACTAAAGTAAATAGCAAACCTCTATTTTGAAGGATGCTGAACTTGTAAATTAGTCTGTAGGAATGGGATACCTGTTTAAAGATGGTGTTCTTATCATTCCTCTTTCTCTATAAGGAGTCACTGAATCTTGTCCCAAGATTTGACAAATAATTAATAAAGTTTTGAAGAAAGTTCTAAGAATGAAATGGAGTGCTGCCATCTGTCTCTTTCATATGTGCAGTTAGATGCTGTAAAGTGATGTCTTTCCCAAAGTAATGTTAGCCTACCTCTTTGAAATGGAAAGCCTATGGAAAGAGGATTGTGTAGTTTAATGCCGTGGATTTGGGATGTCTTCTCTGAAACACCTGGTTTTGATTTTTCTAATAGGCTGGGAGATCCATGTCCTGTTTCAGAAGTAGAGGCAACTTGCTTGGGTTTTTTTGTATTGTCCAACTTGCTTGCTTTTTTCTGTGTTGTCCTGTTAAAAACACCCAAAAAAAAAAAAAAAAAACCCTTCCCACCAACCAACTAAAAGAACCCAAAAAATCCCCAAACCCTCAAAAAACCCTAAACCTGAAGTTTGCAGTCCTTTGCAAGTTGCTGACATATTACCCAAATGTCCCAGGCACTGAGTGTTTGCCAGCAGTGGCAGTGCTGATGCAGTGTTCACTCAGAGCTCCTCTGCACTGGGAGCACTCTCAGAAAATACACTCAAGGCCTCTTCCCTTTCAATCTTTGGCAATTCCACATCTGATAGATGTGTGAAAGTTCAGGATACCACAGTCCAGTAGGTCATTGCGCTGCTGGTTACTTTGCTGCTTGAGCCTCAAGGAACTTTTCCCCAGTTGAACAGCAAAATCTGGAGTATTTATCTGAAAATCTGCTTGCACCATCCAGTCCTTTCAGTAAGGAAAGTTAAAAAAAAAAAAAATCAGTAAATTCAGCTGTTATATGGATGGAGGGGAGAGCTAATAGGGAGAACAAATAGAATTAGTAGAAGTAAAAAGAAAATTATAGAATTTTGCCTCTTTAAATGCCCTTTTTACTAGCTAATAATATCTTTCATTTTAGCTCCTTAAATATGAAACAGATCAATAAAAGGCAAAAGAGAAAAAAAAGGTTTTTGAAAAAAAAACACTGATTATTTTTAATTCTTCCATATCTGTTAAGAGGCTTTTATATTTTAATATTTTAGACTGTTTATGAATGTGTTAAGCACTTGAATCAAGACACTAATTTAAAGATAAAAAATATAAAATTAATTTATATTATATATATTTTAAAACCCCCATATAGACTTTTGTATCTGAAGATGAATATTTTGAAGCAGAATTTTAGAAAGTAAAGAGTTAATTTGAAAGAGTTGAGAATGGTGTGGGAAATTTAAACATTAAATGGGAGATATGCTATGGAAAATGTATTATTTTGCTTTAGAGGGACCAATATTGCAGGTCTTGTGGTTGTAATAGGTAGATAAGCAGACCTCTGAAGTTAAATGTCATGAGATTAAGGAAAAAATTATGTTCAGTGCTAAACATTGTGTTCTGCAGTTCTTAAGCAGTGTTTTCTGCCATAATCTTTATGAATAGACAAGTGCTTTTCTCTCCTCTGACATGGTGTTTCATGCCAAGATCTTTTTGATCAAAACCAGTAGGGGATTATTTTAATTAATAATAAATTAACATCCTAGATTCATTAACATTTTTGTTAAAGATTATCTTATTATTCTAGTTTTGAGATACTGAGTGTTCAGATACTAGCTTAGGAAGTTAGTTGTCTTTTCCATGATAGCATTAATCTTATGTATGAATTCCCACAAGAGTTTGGAACTCAAATTACAGTTGTAAAGAGAAGTAGAAATACTGCAGAGAGTTTTGCAAGTCCATGTATTCCTTTATTAGCATTGAATTCTTTTACCACCTTGGCTTAAAATTTTCAGCATGGTGTGCTTGCGACTACAGAGCAGTTTCTGGCATTAGGAGCCTAAACAAAACACAGTTCCAAGGTGTTTGACCTCTTGATACACTTGTCACAACCTTCCTGGTGTCACTGGGGTGAAACATGTCTGGTAGGAGGCCAACTTCCACTTTGTGTGCTGAGAGTTTGGAAAGAGATGTGGGCTGCTGTCAGGTAGAGTTTGTGACTTCCAAGTGGCTCTCACATGGAGTTTGTTGGCTTGGTCACGGGGCAAGGCTGGCGCTGCTGGATCTAGAATACGTGCAGCAGCTTGGAAATCTGC